CTTTTTAACAGAATTATGCCCACTGTATTGGAAGCACTTCAGCAGCCTCCAACTTCAGGTGGTACTGCCTGCACATCTTTAATACCCTCCTTTTTTTCCAAAATTCAAAAGGCTGTTCAGAAGAGTAAAGAAAATGCTGCATTGTCTTGGAGCGGGTGAGGGGAGGGACAAGAAGGAAACATGGTGCTAAGGTGATTAATGTGACTGTTTATGCTGAAGGAAATGAAAACTAGAAATCTGGGTAAGTAATGATCTTTCCAAGTGAATGAATTTCTCTGGAACCACAATACAAACTCATGTGCTGATTTCCTTTAAATTATTGCTAAAGTCCCCAAAGCAAAGCAGGGATGACACTGATTTTTTTTTTTTTCTTCCTTGTTGATTTTCAGGAGCACAGAATTCCCATTGATTTTCAGGGGTTCCCTGCGAGATGCCCACATGCCATCACCTCTCTTTAAAACAGGAGGTGCTTTGGTGGTGGGATGGAGTAGAAGGGCTCAAGAGGCACATTTAGCACTGTCCATTAAGGGTGGTGAGCTGGAGCTGAGTGTCCTCAGGGTGAGGAACAAGAGTAACACCATTTTTGATGAAGGTACAGTCCCAGTAGTGCAGCTTGGGAAGGATCAGTTTTCCACGTGCCAGCCATTTATCCCTGGCCATGGTGACTTCCCTGGCCTCAGTTATAGCAGTATATAAAGGCTTCACAACTGCTGATATATTTATCTTCTCATCCTCCCCGTGGGGTTGGGAAGTGCTATTACCTCTGTTGCAGAACTAAGAACTGAGATTAAGGGTCAGATTTGTTATGGCATTTAGGTGCTCAATGGGATTTTCAAAAGTAGCTAACACCCGTTGTAATAAGTGGAACTTGGGAACTTGGATAGTTCTGAAAATCCTGTTACTTGTGTCTTCTTTTTTTTTAATTTTGGACTTACATGAAGTCTTGGGATCCAGAGGAGTAGTTCCCAAGTCACCCAGACAGGAGAATGTCTCTTCATTCACCTCCCAGGAGACTGCAGGTGGGACAGGAGCAATTTCATGGCAGTAGCTTATCTCAGTGCTGAATTCAGCAAGCTGTAACTGTGCACAGCATTGCATTTACCCTTCCTGCCCAGCTCTGGGAGAGAGGTCAAAATCCAGTCCTGCAAATACTGGAGCAAAAATAAGCAGCACCTATGGTCAATAAAAAGGGCTTATGTGCCAATTGCTGGGATGGAAAATTCAAGAGCAGGAGCAAATAATGAAACAATTTATATTCATGCAGCCACCTTTCCAGCCTACTGCTCTAAGTACAGGCTTACACCTCACCAGGAGATGGGAATCCCACTAAAAGCTCTGGAGTATCACACTGGAAAACAAATGTTGATTTTGAATGAATTATCTGTTCATCTCTAAATCATTTTCTTTCATTATTAGTCTCCAAATTGGTTCTGCTCTGGAAGGCAGAATTAGGTTTAAAAGCAGAGCATCTCTTAAATGCCTGCTTCAAATGAAAGTGTTCAGTAAACATTGCTCAAACCCCCAGAGCATAAACTCCTCAGCTGCTTTCTCTGGCTTTGCATAGATTTTGCAGCTCCTGGTTTATGGTCAGGTGGCTCAGGGATTCATTCAGGATATCAGAAAATAATCAAATGAAATCCCTTACAAACATATGCCCCTTAAATACCAAGGAAACTATTTTTAAGATGTTCCTGTCCTCCTTTACAGTAGCATAAATTGGAACAAGAGTCCCAAAAAGATGGATTTACAGGAACATGGAACATGGAGGAGAGAGAAGAGTCAGGTTCCAAACTGCAGACCAAGGTTTTCATCACTGAAAGAGCTTCACTTTGCTGTCATGGTGTTTTCAAACATTTCTGTAGTTTTAAGATTCTAAAGAGATCCCTGGGCTTTAAAGTTGTATTTTCAGCGTTAAAGGGCTGGGTTTGGGTTGACTCCAAACCACAGCACGAGTACAGAGCCATGTGGGCTGCAGACCAAGGTTTTCATCATTGAAAGAGCTGCACTTTGCTGTGGTGGTGTTTTTCAAACATTTCTGTAGTTTTAAGGTTCCAAAGAGATCCCTGGGCTTTAAAGTTGTATTTTCAGCATTAAACGGCTGTCAGTGTGTCAGCAGGATTGCAGCTGTCTGAGGCTGTGATTTGGGGTGGTGGAGGGGGGTCAGCTCAGTGAGGAGGGTGATGGAGCAGCAGCAAAGCCCTGGCTGTTGTTGTGTCCTTGTCCCACGTCACACCATGGGCTGTTCATGCCTCCATGAGGAAAGAAGCTCTGCATGGATTAGAGTGCATCCAAAAATCACATGGTTTTCAAAAGTGTTTGCAAGGTGCTGTTATTCCACTTCTTCAGGTGGAGGAGGGAGAATAACTCTGTCACTTCATTACACATGAAAGAGAATAAAACTCTGGGGCAGTGTTGTCTAGGACACTCTAGATCACTGCTGGTTTTTTCAAAGCTTGAATTTTAACTCAGTTGGCTGTTCAGGGGACCTGTGTGCCCAGGGAAAGATGTGCAAGAAGCTCCTCTATTGATCCTCCCCCAAGACTTCCACAGATTTCCCAGCTCTCCTCTCTCTCCAGTAAAGGTGTGGGACTGGGGGGCTGCTGCTGCACAGAGTAGGAATTGAGGGCTGCTGCAAAGAAGTGTGTTTGCACTGTGGTGTCTGAGCACTGTTTTGTACCTAGTAGATTTATTTCTCAGTGGATAGAAGAGCTAAAAGATTAACAGATGAACAAATATGTTGAGACAGCCAGAACATCAAAGAAATTGGAGAGTCACTGAGATGCTGGAGAGTCACCAGGCCATGTTCTTAGGAATTATTTTATCCTCAGATTACCTCAGCTGTCTTGGGGTTTGGACACATCCTCTGGTGAATTTAGCTACATGATTTAGGGTATAACTGGCCCAAGCTCTCTGCTGCTCCTCCTGAGGATCCTGCCTGTGGAGAAGGAGTGTGTGCCTGTGTGCCAGACCCTGCAGCACAGATCCTGGGGGTCCTTTGTTTCTCAGGACAAACACCAGCCTGTGAGATACACCAAGGGTGAGAGTGTACTGAGTCCCTGGGCAGAAATCTCCAGGGAAAATACGGGTCAGACAGCTTTTGTCCTCCATGCAATCTGCAATTCAGTCAGGCAGGGAAAAAAAAAAGTGATTTACAGCAGTCTTAACCTTAGGTTCCTCACACAGGAACCAGCTGAGGGGTGATACCAGTGGAAGGAATCAGAAGTTTACATAAAAAGTGGCTTCCCTGCAGAAAACAAGAAGCAGCTCAGAAGGGTTGTGCAGAGGCTGCTCATTCCTTAGGCTGCATATGCCTCAATTGCTCCCTGCAATTTAGATTTAGTTAAGTCAGCCAGGAAATTATGGATAAGTTTGGGGTCTTGAGGGAAAGGAAAGCAGCAGTATGAAGACACTGAAAAGGGGAAAATCGTAACTTGAAAAGTGCCACACAGAGGGAGCTGTGCCTGTGCTTTATTGAACTGTTGGCTGCAATAAATACAGCTGAATTCCCTCAGTCTCCCATAATGCTGTCTCAGTAGCAGCAGGAGTCCATTTAAGAGCACACTTACATGCACAAATGATTATATCTATGGAGAGCAGAGAAAGAGCTGATGCAGGCAAACCCTGAGAGCTGCCCGGCAGAGCTGGAGCTGCCCCGTGCCCAGCTTTGGTCAGTGCTGCCAGCCCAAAACTGGCAAAGCAGAGGAGCCTCTGCTCCAGCCCTCCCACCTGCTTCACCTGAGGAGACCACAGCCTAGATCTTGTGATCCTACAGTAAATAAATGATGATGAAGTCAACTAAGAGGATATTCCCAAAGAGGGAGAGGTGGTTTTTTATAACCATTTTCAATACAGAGAGTAATAAGAGACTGTATTATAAATAAGAAAGAGACAAGTGCAATAGAAGACCAAAAAATGGATGATGAACAAGGAAGATGAACCTTGTGCTTCTGCTCTTTACAGCATTAACCCCAATTGCTGAAGGAAAAGGTCTGGCTGTGTTACAGGGCTGTAGCAGGGCTGTCAGAGGCTGTGCAGTGTGTCCGTGGTTAGGAGGGGCTGACGCTCTGCAGAGCACATGGTCATGCCTGGTGTGATGTGAGCCTAGGACTGGAGACCACAAATTTTGGGGTCTTCAGCCTGATTGCTTTCATTGATTTCCTTGTATCCTTAAACCCTTCCAAACCTCACATTGTAGGAAGTCAGGAGAACTAATTCATTCCTGTTTGAACAGTGGTTTGAGGAAGAGAAACACTTGCACCCTCTGTGTAGGTGCTCAGCTTTACTGATATCCTGTTAGCACTGATTAGTGAGAAAGCTGAACCAGAAATAAGAGCAAGCTGACCTTGGGGGTGGCTTCATTGCCCCTTTTCTCTTGGTCCAGCATAGCAAAGCTAGCATGGAGTGTTAGCAAATCAGATTTGTGATGTGTTTTACCACACCGTGCGTGAACCTTTTCCTCTGGTAGCAGGTGAGAACCTGCACATGAGCAGGGTCTGAGGGGCAGCAGGGCAGCACAGCAGCCTAGCAGGAGCATGGAGCCCATGGGCTGTGTGAGCCCTGTGTGCTGCAGGATAGGGATGCTTAGCAGGAGCAGGAGCCCATGGCTGTGTCCCTGTGTGTTGCCCGAGCAGGAGCCCATGGCTGTCCCTGTCTTGCAGTCTGGGGGGTTCAGCAGGATCAGGAGCCCATGGCAGTCCCTGTGCTGAGGCTGGGGGCTCAGCAGGAGCAGGAGCCCATGGCTGTCCCTGTGCTGAGGCTGGGGGCTCAGCAGGAGCAGGAGCCCATGGCTGTCCCTGTCTTGCAGTTTGGGGGGTTCAGCAGGATCAGGAGCCCATGGCTGTCCCTGTCTTGCAGTCTGGGGGGCTCAGCAGGATCAGGAGCCCATGGCTGTCCCTGTGCTGAGGCTGGGGGCTCAGCAGGAGCAGGAGCCCATGGCTGTCCCTGTGCTGAGGCTGGGGGCTCAGCAGGAGCAGGAGCCCATGGCAGTCCCTCTCTTGCAGGCTGGAGTCGCCCACGCGCGCGCTGGTGATGGAGGCTCCCAAGGGCATCGAGATCAACGCCGAGGCCGGCAGCCTGAAGGCCACGTGCAGGACAGAGCTCAGGCTGGAATCCAAAGATGGAGAGGTGAGTGCAAAGCCCTGCAGCAGAGCCAAGGCATGGGTGCCCTGCAGAGCTGTGGCCCTGTGGGTCACCAAGCTGCTGTGAGGGAAGCCTGGGGACAGTGGGCTCTCCTGACTTCATTCCTTCTCACCCTGATTGAGCACATCCCATGCAAAGCAGACTCACTCCGTGGCAAAGGCTGATTCATTATTTTTAAAGTGCATGGATAATAGCATCTGTTGTTCCAGCAGATTTATGCAGCTGTAAAATGCACACTGCTCCTAAATTCTTTGTTTCCTTGTCACTTTAAAACAAGATTTACTTGGCCAGCATAATTAAATCTTTTATCATATATTATTCTATAAGAAGAGCTTAATTCAGTAGTATTGATCTGGAAAGCTTTTGTGGCTGATGTTTCATTCTGGAATGAAAGGGAACATTAGGAGACACAGGTTGTTGCACTGGAGAAATTTCCAAAGGGGAAGAGAGAACACTTAAAGCTGATAACATAGAGTAAAAGTAAAGTAGGTGTTGAGTTAAGCCTCTTCTGGTGTCATAAACTCATGTGGGCACATGGTTTTGCTGGTTTTCCCATCCCCTCCTCCTGCCACAGTGATTGAAGGCACCAAAGGATGAGGCTGAGGAGCTCCCAGTGGGGAAACCACTGAGACCCTTGTCAGGAGGAGCTGCCCATGGAACACAAACCTCCAGGCAAGAGGGCTCCCACAACAGTTGAGATTTACCTATCTTAGTGTCAGGGGTAAAATAGAAACACTCTTTAATTGCAGTTTCTGTTTTTTCTAAACATTTGCATTTTAAGACAGTCCAAACCTAGACCATGGCTGTTAAGAAAAAACCTCTGAAAAATACCAGAAAAAAAAACCCCAAAAAAACCAACCTAATACACTGAGATTGAAATCCAAGACATTTCACAACTTCAAGCAGTTGCTTTCAATACTAAGATGCTTTTAAATGCATAAATTGACTTGTATCTTTCAGGACATGAGATGGGTGGATACTAAACTGGGAGATTGTTACTGTCATTGCTGATATTCTCAGTCGCCCTGTATTATTCTGGGGTTCAGGTTATTTTACTGTATTCTGGCTGATGCCAGAGCACTCCCCTGCAGCTGCCACATGTCTGAGAGCTGCCACATGTTGTTTGCCTTATGTTGTTTTGTAAGGAGGAATTTAGGACTGTTAGAGCATTTGATTTATTTTTAATATACACAAAAGTGTTACACATATACATAAAATATGCATAAAATATGCATTAAATATGCATAAAATATACATAAAAGTCAGTCCTGGGAGCCTGCAAGTGTAACTGGCGATGGGATCACAGTGACAGAGATCCTGATGGAGGAGCAGGGTGTTGGGTGGGTGTGAACCATCCATGCTCTCCATCTGACAGTGGGCTACCTCTGGTTGGGTCAATCCAAACCTGGGATTGGGTTCCTGGAGGTGTCCCAGGAAGCTAAAAGCCAAGGAAATGGTGGGTACATCAGCAGAAACAAACTGGAGGTCGTGGTAAAGGCAGATAATGTGCCCACACAGATTTGTGTCAGACTTTCCCATCCTAAAACACTTCCCTCCCCAGCTTTTGCAGCATCTGAGCTGTCTGGAAGAATCTTCTTTAAACACAGAAATCGGAAATAACAGCTCTTTCTTTAAATCAGAAGTAACAGCTCCCTGCTAATTCTCTCTCTTTTTTCTCTCTCTCTCTCGCCACCACTGACTCCAGATAACGTTGAATTCTGCAAAAATCAAACTACCTAACTTGCCTCAAGGATCTTCCTCTTCTGCAGGGTCCAGGCAAAAAATCTACGAGCTCTGTGTGTGTCCCAATGGGCGGCTGTTCCTGTCTCAGGCAGGCAGCAGCTCCACCTGCCAGATAAACACGAGCGTCTGCCTTTGAGAGACAATTTGCAGAGGGGCATCACAGGCAGCACAAAAGCCAGTTCTGGTCTCACAGATCCAGCTGCCAACTATTTTTACTAGAACACAGAAAGCCTATCAAAGACTTTTTTTGTGTGTGCGCGCGCGTGTGTGTGAATATATATATAAAAAATATATATAAGATATATATATATCCTCTGTGTAAAATGATGTTTCAGTACAAGGAATCCCAGGGTGACCCTGTTACATTTGTGTAGCATTTCTCTTTCCCACACCAAAATTTACTGGTACAATCTACTGAATTGGATCTGATGCTCCCCTGGACCCTTCTGTATTAAGACAGTGCAATGATCACCCCTCGTTTTTGATCATGTTCTCAGAGCAATGGGATTGCTGGCTGGGCAAGACCCTGGAACCAATGCAGACCCACCACCATCCAAAGGGAAGAGAAGCATCTCTGATTATTTTTGTGCCATTAAATCGGTGGCATGAAAAAGAAATAATTTCAAAACCAACAAAATAGCCAGATGTGCTGTGCTGATCACCTGCAGTGATCCAAGATACCTGAGGTTAAATTACTCTTTAATTAAATTATCACCTGAAGCATGGCTCCCTGCTGGGACAGAGGGATGCACTTGGCCAGTAGGAAAGTCCAGACCTTGCTGAAACAATAAATGTGATTTTCTGAAGGGTTCAACACTTTCCTGTGCATGGCCAAGGACGCCTTGTGCTATTCAGGTGTGACACATCAGGTCCAACACTAACCTAAAATCATCTCTGTGCTGGCAAAACTGGTGTTGTACTTAGTCATTGGAAAGGAACAAACTTGTGAAAGTTGGACTAAGCAGAAAAATTCTGAACCTCTTTTGCTAACAGGTGTCCTGGATCACCCTACAAACTCCCCAGTAACACCTTCAATTTTGAACATATTTGGTGTGAAGGTGTGAAGATTTAAGATTTGGACATTGCCTAAATACCTATAGAAACAGAGAAAATCAGCTAGAAACTGAGAAAAACAAAGAATTAAGCGTATTATGTAGATGCTACACCAGAATTGTTGTCATCTTTCTTTTGAAGATACACAGTCCAAGGTCACTTAGATTTGGTGGAAACTGCAATTATCAGAGATGCTGAAAATGAAAGACTTTTTAAAAGGATTTATAAAGATTGTGGCAAAGCCAGATTACTGAAAGGAAGGGCTTTGGATGCTGGTTCCTCTAGAATTTGAGTCCCCAAAACTCTGTGGTTGAATCTTATCATGGCTGCATTTTTTCCTTATTTAAAAGTCTAGAAGTCATGGGCAGGATAAAACACAAAAATCTAATCTGGCAACATTACTTCCACTTTTGAAGTTTTGGAAAATAATGATAAGAGCCCAGATCATTGAAGTCTGACCCATAATTTCATCCACATGTATGTAAAAATCCTTAAAAAAACCAAATATACCAATTAAGGCAAAAATTTCCAAGTTACAATAAATCTCACGAGGACAGCAAGGTTTCTAAGCCACTGAGATGCTTTTGAAATATTACCTCATGTGCAAATAAGACAGATCTGTGCCCATCCCTAGTGATATCTAACCAAAGCTGGTATTCTTCAAGGGATTTTCAAGATAAAGCATAGCTGACAGAAATCTTTAGAAATAATTTAGTCAATTCCCTTTTTTTACAGCTTTTCACGTATTTTCTTGTGGTCTTGAGAGTACCAGGGTTTGATTTTTTTTTAAATTTTTTATTTTGTAATTAACAATTCTGGCTTAATCCAAATCTGATTGGACTCAGAGAAGATTTCTATGGAGTTTAGATTAGATGTGTTGCTACCTAACAAAGCAGCACTCCCAAAAATATTTATTTCTGAAAGAGGATTGAATTCTTTCCTTTTATTTCAATAATGCTTTCTGATAAATCAACAAACTCAAACTATTCGTTAATGAATGATTCCTGTAATTATTTTGTCTTGAGTCAACATTTGAATGCAAAGGGTCACCCAGGGTAACAATTGTATTGGGACACAGGACTGTACCATCTCTGTTCAAAGAGGGGAATTGTGCCTATGCCTTAAGTCAATGCACTCAGCAAGGAGAAGCACATCATATTTATCTTGTTATTAAATCTAGTTTATTTGGGGGGGAGGGACAGGAGGGTGTCTTGGGAACTGGTTGTGCAACTTCAAACAGATATTGATGAAATACATTAAGACTGTAGGGGCACCTAGAATGATACAGACTTTTTTTTTTTCTTACCATGTTAAATATAGCAAAATACTGTGTATGTTACCTCTGGGACCATGACTGAAGTCCCATTCATAGTCCTACATTTACTGTAATTTTTTTTTCCCTCTTCCATTGAATACTGATCACAAACCTCATAGCAAGCATGGCCCAGTCCATAACCAAATCCTGTGTGAGCAGTTTGAAGACACGTGCTGCAGAAAGAGTTCCCTGACAATGAATCAGATTAATTCCCAGCCCTGGGAGTGTTCAGGGGGGTGAGGAGGGCAGGGCTGAGGCCACCAGGGATGCTGCATCCTGATTTCTGTTCACAGCAGTGTCTCAGTCCTCGTCCCTGTGCCACCCTCTGGCTGCTCCCAATTTCCATCCCAACAAATTAATTTAGAGTAGCTGCTTTTCCCAGCTGGGCTCTTGGATGAGGTTATCACCTTCTCATGTCACAACAGCCATGAAACTGCTAAGGACATTCATATCTTGGTGTGAATTTCTGCTGGGGAGCTGTTAGGAAATGACCTTAACATCTGTGCCATCACTGCAGATGCTTCTCTGAGGTGAACAAAGGGTACCTTAATTACATCTACTGAAAGAAATTCTTATTTCAATATATTTTACAGCCATGTTTCCATCTTAGAAAACATGAAATTATGTGTTGTGTTGAAATGTGAGGAATTGTTTCTAGAAAGAATGAACCCCTGTAGGGACTTGGAGACCATTTGAACACCACTTGAGTTTTGAGACAGTGGTTTGGGTGATGCTGCCTGTGCTGGTCAGAAAGTGGCAAACATAAACACAGGCTGGGCAGAGAGTGGGTCAGGAATATGCCTGAGGAAAAGGACTTGGGTTGTTGGTTGGGGAGAAGCTCAACATGACCTGAAGTGAACTCACAGCCCAAAAAGCCAGTCCTGTCCTGGGCTGCATCAAAAGCAGTCGAGGGAGGGGATTCTGAGCTTGTGACACCCCACCTGCAGTGCTGTGTCCAGCTCTGGGTGGTCCCAGCATCAGAGGGATGGGGACACATTGGGGTGAGTCCAGAGGAGACCACAAAGATGCTCTGAGGGCTGGAGCTCCTCTGGGAGTGCTGGGGGTGCTCACCTGGAGAAGAGAAGGCTCCAGGGAGACCTCAGAGCCCCTCCAGTGCCTAAAGGGCTCCAGGAGAGCTGGAGAGGGACTTTTTCCAAGGGCAGGGGTAATAGGGCACGGAAGAATGGCTTCAAACTGACAGCAAGCAGGGTTAGGTTAAATATTAGAAATAAACTCTTTGCTGTGAGGGTGGTGAGGCCCTGGCACAGGTTGCCCAGAGAAGCTGTGGATGTCCCATCCTTGGAAGTGCTGGATGGGGCTTGTAGTAGCCTGGTGTAGTGGAAGGTGTCCCTGCCCATGGCAGAGGGCTGGAACTGGATGATTTAAGGTCCCTTTAATCCCAAACCATTCTAGGATTCTGTGAAAGCAGAGCAAACAGGACTGTGTCTCAGATCCCAGGGGAAAAAACAGGCATTTTCTTTAAAAAGCTGCCTGCTAACACATCCAGCCATCTCACACTCACAGTGGCTGACTCTCCTGTTGCACAAGGCAGGTGCAGGAGAGTCCCTTCTCCTGCCTTGCCCAGAAATCCCTCGCAATGGGATTCCTCACTACCTGTGTGGGCTGCTTTTCCCTGAATCCATTCAAAGCAGAGCTCCCCTGACTGGAATTTCATCCACGTGCTCTACCTACCACTGATAAAATACCAGAGACAAACAAGGCTTTGTGTATTCTGTTGTGAATTGGGCCTGAAGTTTAGTTCAGTGGAGCATTTGCTGTGTGGGAGGTGGGGTTGATCTCAGAATGGAGTTTGGTTTGTGGCTGCTGAGCTCCGTGGGAGAGTTGGTGATGACTTGATGGCCTGAGCCTGGGCTGGGCAGGTGCCAGTTGGGGACAGTGGGAGCACTGCCAGCCCCTGGGGTGGCTCTGGGGCTGAACCAGACCCTGCACTGCAGCTGTGAGCACTGAAACCCCACCCAAATGCTAATCAAGGGACTGTGCCAGCAGTGCCAGTGTACCTGGGGTGGCCGTGCAGGAGTCATAAATGCATTTATGTGTGCTGGCTCTTCATAGGACTGCAGGACCCTGTCCAGTTTGCTGTAAATGTGACACTTCAGGAAAGGGTCAGGAGAATGACAGCCAGTGCTCACCTGTGACAGGAACCTTGTCCATATGGAGTGTGTGACCCTTCTGTCATGGCTGAGGCAGGATGGTCTCCTAAAAGCAAAAAGATTTTGCCTTTAGCAAAAGCAGAGATCCTGGGAATGGCTGTACATCTGTGCCCATTCTCCAAGTTTCTTTGTGGGGTTTTTTTTTTGGCTGTTGGTTTGTTTGGGTTTTTTATTCATTTTGAAGCATATTACCCCATAGTTAAACAGTACAAAGAAATGTTAACAGTAAAGGAAGTCATCAAAAGGGGAAGCCAGAAACTACTACAATATGTATAAAGCCTCTCCTAAGTATTCATTTTTAGAAGAGTGAGTATGTGCAGGAGTGATTTGTATTTACCTCAGTCATGTGCTGTCTAACAGCTGTGTTTTGGAAGGGTTGTGGGGTTTTTTTCTCCTGTTATGATAAATACCACATTGCACAAACAAACTTTGAAGGCATAAGCCTGAAACTCTGCAGTATATGGTATGGCAAAATGATAGCTAAATAAAAACCCCTCCCTAGAAAGTGCTCCAAGGTTAAAGGGAGATTCCTGTGGGACTTGAGAAGGCTAGCTCACATCACAACCTAGTGAAAACTCATTTTGTTGTCATAAGATGCTCACACATGCACACAAATACACACACATACTCATACACACTTGTTTACAACAAAAGCCAATTTTCTTTATGTTTGTTTTTATGGCTTTAAGTTTCACATTGCAAAAGAGAGTGAGACAAAGACCAAAGACTTCAAGAAGTTCATCCCTCTCTGGTTGCCCTCATGCCTGAAAT